CCCTCCCCGCCTCTCCACCCCTCAAGTATTACATCACAAATGGTAGTGCTTCTAAGAAGGGAAAGATAGTACCACTGGAACTTTAATAAACAAAAGCCGTTGGGGGGGGGGGAGAGAGTTGTTCGAAGTTCCGGTTTACTTGTCATCAAAGAAATGGAATACATTCTGGTGTTGATCATGGATTTACTTGAAGATTACAACTAATATTAGACCAATAGGAACAACAGAGGAAAGCGAGAACTACTAATAGAATGTCAATGTCACATTGACTCATCTGTGCATTTTGATTTGCAGAGCTAGATTGCTTCCATCAGTCTGTGCAATAAAAATGAATGTTGCATATTTGAATGGAGTGGTTTATATGTTGTGACATCGTCAACTGTATGACTCTACAGCTCATTTGGACAAATGACATTTATTTCTGTTTCTTAGAAGCATGAATTCAGCCACTCTTTAAGAGATGCACCCTGGGCAATGTATACTCGTACGGCAAAAAAGTCTATTAACCGGCAGTTGACTTCTCACTTCAAACTACCATCATCCCACTGTATGCCAAGTTCGACCACTTCCACAGTACTAACATTTGTGTCTGTCTCTTTTACGTCATTAAAACGCTCTTCTGTTCCCCCTCTCAACTTACAGTGATTTTGTTGTTCCACCCTCTGTGAATCACAAAGTCAAGTAAAGGGCCAATGATAACTATCATAAAGCCTGCCATTTTTTGTAAATAAATATCTACGGCTTCGTTAAATCAGTTCGTTAGTGTTAATTGAGATCATTGTTCAATTACGAATTATTGATCAGTGAATTTTCAAAATATTTCGAAACTGAAGTGTTATTTGAAATATGTCCATATTAACTCTTCTCCTCCTCTAACACTTAATTTAAAATTTTCTTAAATTCAAAAAGAGGAAAATTTTTATCGAGCATACAACATCCCTTATCCCCTCCACCCACCTCCACCCACCTCCACCTTCCGCCCTCTATCAGCTAGTTCATTTAGTGATACTAAGGCGGTTAAGATACGAATAAAGTCTGTATTTTTGAAGTGCAAAATGCAAACAGTTGTTAGGGAACAAAACATTCGGGGACCAGAAAGAACCACGGATTTCAATAGACTTTACACCTTTCGTCCGTTTCTTTTTACAAAACAAAAACAACTGAGTAAAGAGGAAACAAAGTTTAAATTAGTGCATTCATGATTTCCTTCATTAAGTAGTAGCCGTCTTTTTAAGAATTTGTTTAACACCTTTCGCGCTGATCAATGGTAGCCTATTGTGGGTAGAGGGGAATAGCAGGGTTCATTTACTCGAGGATCCCAGTGCGAGTTTACTACTACGGATCGTCGATGGTGATGTAATTCATGGTGATGTTGATGATGTGATGTTTGGTGTGGAGCCCAGTTAGATCCATCCTCCATACTAGTATCAGCCGACTCTGGGTAGAAGTTGAGTGGATAATGGAGAAAGCGTTCACCATTGACCGATCTGGAAAAGTGTGGATTAGATCTAGGGAGGACAAGTGGCACATCGGTATTCTGATTTATGGAATTTCGAGATCGAAACCAATTCCACTGAAATCTCCGGGTTCGCGTGGAACGTGAGGACTCTGGAGGTGTTGTGATGGAAGTTTGAGGCGGCGGGAGGTGGTTAGAATCGCCCTCCTCACCATTTGTTCCTCTACCAACGAGACTAAGACATTTTTGCGGTTGGAAACAGACCGCGCAAACTACCATATAGACTACTAGGAGAGTTATGAGAATGTAGGCTACTAAAAGACCGATGAATCGGCTGCTGCGTGGGTTTACGGACATCCCAAAATCTGTCAGAACGGGCTTTGTCGAGGGGATTATTAAAGCATCATCATGTGCCACACTTGCGGAATCCGCTAGGGCTATATTTCTACCCTCTGGAACTAAAATAGCAAAAAAAACAAAGAAACTTTTATTATAACTCTACGAAATAAAACCTCAAAATTAAGTATACAAATAATTTATATATTGCGTTATAACTACTAGGATGATAAATGTGAATTGATTTTACAAAAGCGGTATATTTCGAAAAAACAGTAGTAATTTTTCCTGTACTTACTGCAATAATTGTCATGAGAAATTAGATTGTATCTTCTATCGATTATTTAAGCGGTAATAAACGATGTTGACGCATACTTAGGGCGAAGATTTTGTACCAACTCGCGCAATTTAGCAAATCAGTGAAAATTTTAAGGCATAGCGAACGTCTTGTTTTTCCACTAATCCCAAACTCATTATCAAACATTATTCACCAAATTCTTTCCCGGTCTTAAAAAAAGGTTTTACGTAATTTTAAGGACCGATTCAGAGAACGCAGTTAGGAGGAAATGTGGAAATCCCTTTCTAATTGATGTAAGCGTTGTTAAAAATAAATAAAATAAATAATATATATATATGTATATGCTGCTTATTTGTTAAGAAACAGAGATGATCGTACAATCACGAAGTGTTTTAACGCAAAAGTTGAAATTCCAAAAGGTTTATTACCTAATTTACAAAATCTGGTTTTGGTCCTCTCTATTAATGCTATCAGATTTCAATAACCGCTTACTTAAAGGTTAACTTCAACTCAAAAGAAGATACTAAACCTTTCTTTTCTTACAGCCATAATATAAATAAATTTAATAGTCTCATCAGAAAAATGCAAAAATAATTATCACAAGCTTTTAAATATGCAGATTTATTAAAAATTCAATAGAAGGGATAATGACACTACCATCGAAGAATTTTACTCAGATTACTCGTTTTTGGCGTCTACTGCAACCTCAATACTAACTCATCAGCAGTCCAACACAACCAAGTGCAAGCTGACTTTGTACTCTCTCACGGAATAGCCTCAAAAAACCGCTTTTAACTCAGTTAATTAGAGGGTTGGCTCTTGTAGTTCTTGGGTGGTAAATATGTGCATATGTGGTTTACCACCGGGTTAAGAGATGAGGAGGGATGTAGTTGAGAAGGCGTTTGAGTTCGAAGGCTGGAACTGAAGTAATTGCAATTATAGGACTCTCTATCAAGTTTCCTTGAGAAAGGGTTGAAGCGAACCGAAACCTAGTTCTACCATGCTCATAGCCAATTAATGGTAACTCTAATTCGTAAAATTCACGCATTCCCACCCAGGTATCTGAATTCGACCCAAGTAACACTCTTCTAAAAAATAATGAAAAAATAGAGGCATTACCACACTTCACCCCAGTGGTGGTCGAGGTGGTTAAACGGAGTTACAATACCCGAGGTGTGTCCTTTCGACCGAATGTAAGAAAACCCATTTGTTATTCTTCGTTGTATACATTTTAATTTGACAAAATCTTTTCTCATCAGAACAGAACCAGAGTTTTGTGTTCCAGGATGTCCCGATTAGCCGAGAAATTTACTTATCATTGTGTCACTTGCCCAAGTTTGTAGTTAACGGAAGTCTTCAATGAGCGCGATCTTTACGATAGATGTTGAAACACTATTGCTGCAAAGCCCCAATTTCGATATCGGAGTGTTCCAATCCTATTACGGAGTAAATCGTCTGTTATGTTGCTTTCATATAGTTATTTCGGTCTCGTTGTCTCAATTGCTATTCTCCAATTCTTTCAAAGTTTTCTTTTTTTCAAACAGTGTACTAACCAGTGACCTTAATCATCTAATTCTGATGAATTACTCCTATCAATGATTCAGGCGGGATTCAGCCACCCTCTATTCCCGTTGACATCAGATTAATGGAGGAAGAAGGGCAAATAGTTTGAAAGAGACGTTTTTAATACTAATTGCAAAAAGGTAACCACAAAATATTGGGTTGGCAACTAAGTCATTGCCGTTTTTGTTGACAGATTCACTCTATACTTTCTTTTGTTTTGTTAACGTGGCCAGAGCATCTAACCTATATTTTTTCTTACTGTATGGGCTTCTAGGTTAATTAGTAAAAAAAACTTTTTGTTTAGTTCTTTAGTTTTGTTTTTATCCCAATTTAAAAATGAAAGAACAGGACGTGCACTTCCGACACATTTTATTGTATTACTTCCAAAAAGGCAAGAACGCATCGCAAGCACAAAAGAAGTTATGTGCCGTATATGAAGATGAAGCCTTAAAAGAAAGGCAGTGTCGAAATTGGTTTGAAAGATTTCGTTCCGGTGATTTTTCACTGAAAAATTCACAACGATCTGGCCGCCCAGTCGAAGTGGATGAAACCCATATCAAGGCCATTATCGATTCAAATGGTCACAGCACAACACGAGATATTGCAGAGAAACTGCTCAATGTGTCGCATACATGCATTGCAAAAAATTAAAAACCCTTGGTTATGTCAAGAAACTTGATTTATGGATCCCTCACCAGTTAAAGGAAATTCATTTGACGCAGCGGATTAGCATCTGTGATTCGCCGCTACTGAAACGCAATGAGAATGATCCATTTCTGAAAAACCTAGTTACTGGCGACGAAAAGTGGATAGTTTATAACAATGTTACTCGCAAGAGATCATGGGTGAAGCAAGATCAACAAGCCCAAACAGTATCAAAAGCAGAGATTCACCAAAAAAGATTATGCTGTGAGTCTGGTGGGATCACAAAGGAATTTTGTATTTTGAACTCATGCCGCGGAGCCAAACGATAAATTCAAATGTGTATGTTGAACAACTCGAAAAACTGAAGGATGCAATTGAAGATAAGCGGCCGGCATTATCAAATCGGAAGGGTGATGTTTTCCACACATCTTTGGTTACTCGGCAAAAATGATTGGAACTGGGTTGGGATGTTTTGTCACACCCACCATATAGCCCTCACCTTGCGCCTTCGGATTACCATTTGTTTCGTTCCATGCAAAACTCTTTAAATGGTAAAAGTTTTAACAACGCGGATTATGTCGGATCACACCTAATTCAGTTTTTTAATAGCAAAGACCAGACATTTTACGAACGGGGAATTTTTACTCTGCCAGAACGATGGAAAAAGGTCATCGACAAGAAAGGCCAATATATAATTGAATTAAGTTATATTTTTAAACAAAAATTCCGAATTTGCCTTCTTATTTGAAATTGGCAATGATTTAGCTGCCAACCTAATATATCGTGAATACTGTGATAAATTTGATCTTCTAATACCACTTTCTCGATTCATAGCCGTTGTCACGATTTCATCACGAATTTTATAGCAAGAATTAACAAAACATTAGTTCGTGGGTTTAAAGACAAAAGTACGTGGAATACATGCCTCTGAAAGGAATAACTTTACTCTGCTTCACTTCACTTCAATAAATGTTAAGAAAACTGAAAATAGGAAACTAGTGATTACCATTAACAGGCTCACTTCTTTTTAATCAAAAGTTTAAATGCAATGGTGAATATAAAATTTGGCGGAGAGAGAGAAGAGATGTTAAATATAGTTATCGTGTCATAAAAAAATTGTATAGAAGTTGATTTCAAAAAAATCAAAGCGATCACAGTTCCTTCCCCCTCCCACACCCTCCTCAATGGTTTTACTAATTATATATTATCCTACTAGTATTTCAATACAATATTTACCTTCCATGTTGCAAATGAAAGCTCGTTAAAATGCAATCACTCTGCCAAAGACGATTAAATTCACTTTCATTATGGCAAGTGACATTTCTTTCCAACTGATACACCTTAAATTTCAAGTTTAGTGCATTTGCAACTAAGAATTGCCTACTAGTGGAGTAACCACCATCATTAACAGAAGTTCATGATCAACCCGTTCATAAAAGCAGATCGACAAATAAGTTTTGAATATTGCCAACTTGGATTTGGAAGATTTAAACACAGCAGATTCAATTCAATCAATTTTTCAATAGCCCAAAAATAATGACAGAATCTTTCTCACAAATTTGTAAGGCATGCTCTTAGCCATGCTTTGAAGAAAATATTATAACAATGGTCTATTTGAACATGTGCTATTCAAGTTGATCCTCTTAAATAGCCAAGTGTCATTCAAAGATTAATGAATTCCATTTTACTGAATACAGTTGGACTGTTGCTTGGTACCGCTGAGTGAATCATTTCCTCAGAAAAACGTCAATTTCCTTTTCGCGTATCATAACCTTTTATGGAAAGGTATATATGGTACCTAGGAAATCATAAATTAACTTAGCGTTTTATTAGCAATTACCATTAGAAACCCTAAATACACACGAACACGTAATGATGATGTTACTATAGCCAGTCAAGCTCGATAAAAACTGCTAATTCTCCACATTGTGACCTTTGTGATCTTTTACAAAATGGCCTAATTATGCTCTTTTGGGAAAGAAGGGTAGCAATATTTTAAATTCCAAACCTTAATTCAGTTTCTTTCGGAATTAAAACTCTGAACTTTGGTGTTTGATATCTCAAAATAAATGCTCAAAAGCCAGGGAAATGAGTCATACAAAAATCGATAAACAAAAACGATAACAGATAAGAATTAAAATAAAGCTTCACTTTCTCTCAAGGTTAAGCGTTCCACCTGGACTTTGTAAATTAATCGATTAATCGATCGATTTTAATAAAAATTGATTTAACTTCTTACAATTGTTCATTTTGACTTTATTTTTTAAAGCTTTCTAAAAGGGCAAGCTATTCAGAAATTTTGGGCTGAAATCGCGCGCCAAAAATTACATGAATTAGAAAATGCACAAATATGCAGTAACATTCTGCTTTAAAATGCAACTACACACTTAGAAATAGACTAAATGCTACATAGAAATTTCGGAATAACCACTAAAAAAAGCACGTTTACTTCGTCACAGTACCCCATTTTGATTGGCCGATATGAGCGAAATTTTATAGGAAAAATTTCACTGCG